GACACAGCCACAGGTTAATGTAAGCATTTTAAAAACCAGATCCGCTTGACCGTGTCCATAGCAGCAGGGCTCGTGGTGGCTAAAATGCAGAAGCAACCCCAACGTCCACCAAGGGATAAACAGGCAAACACAAGGCAGGTTTTCCCACCATGGAGTACTACTCAGCCATGAAAAGGGCATTCTGGCACACCACCACGTGAGTGCACCGTGAGCACGCTGTGCCCATGAAATACACTAGATGCATGAGGTCRGGTCCTGCAGCTCCCTCCCGGGAGCTCCCTAGAGTCATCAGATCTACACAGGCTGAAGGCAGAGGGGCAGGAGCCAGGCCAAGAGGGGCTGGGGCATTAGCATTCAACGGGGACAGTCATCTTGGGAAGCTAAGTCCTGCAGATGGACAGTGGGGACAGGTGAATGGCCAGGTGCTGCTGGGCACTGCATTGGGCGAGATGGTGAACTTCATGTCATGCGTATTTTACAATAAACCAACCAAAAAAATAAAAGGCTGCAGCCGAGTGCTACAGAGACAGGACGGCAGTCCAGCCGCAGGGCTTAGGTGACCATCCCTACAGGCAGCCCAGGGGGCTCAGGTGACCGCCGCAAYCTGAAAAGCCAGGTGCAAGACGAGGCTGCCGAGGCGGGGTACCAGCTAGGAGACACCCAAGCTTCTGGATTCAACTCCCTAGTACAGAGCGGCAGGCAGCTCCTGAACCACCCACACCACCTGTGCGCTCCGAGAAATGCAGATTTCCAGATCCGAATCCAGACCCGAGGAACCAGGTTTGGAGCCCAGCAACTTTTGTTTTTGGAGGGGGGGAAAAGTATCACAGGTTGAACCCAGGGTCACTCAGCTGCCGAGCCMCATCCCCAGCCCTTTTTTTGTATTTTATTTAGAGACAGGGTCTTGCCGAGTTGCTTAGCGCCTTGCTATGTTGCTGAGGTTGGCTTTGAACTCACGATCCTCCTGCCTCAGCCTCCCCAGCCGCTGGGATTACAGGGTGTGCCATGGTGCCCCGCCCCCCAGCAGTTACTTTAACAAGCCCCCCAGGGGATCCTGCTGCACACTCGGGGGCGGGACCCCCGGCTGCAGTCCCTGGGGTAGGGAGGTGGTCATCCCTAWGGTAAGTCTGAAGGTAGTTCCACCCGGTCAAGTTCAAAAACGTCTGGCTGTTGRGACTAAAATGAAGAAAACCGAGTCCTGCCTGGACTGAGGGACACACCTAGGACTAGACCATGAGCCCCGCCGACGTTGTGTAATGTGTGACTGATACAGTTCAGAGTCTTACACAACTACCTGGTTACTGCGTCTGTTCACAGGGCTWTTTATAAACTTGCATAATCCTCACCTGTGTGAAAACCATTTCTAAGTCCGCAAGCTGGAGAACACGGAACCTAAAGAAGCCAGACCTCAAGAACAGCCCCCACCTGGGGCCAAGATGGAGGCCAGGCGCCAGGATCCCGTACCCAGCCAGGTGTCTGTCATAGCAACCAGAGCGGCYGCACCTGCCCCACCCACGGACAAAGCCCCCAGTGCTGGAGAAACAAGCCCAGCCCTCCATATCAAAAGATGAAGTAGTTTTTAACAACTGCTCGGACATCGGAGCCCAAGAGTCTAAATACAGGCGATTCCACTCTGAGTATTTTGACTCACACAGACACAGAAATAAATCCACGGAGGAATGTCTTCAATTCCACCTCAAGATGCCCGAGCCCRGGACGTTTCAAAGCAGCACCTAGATTTGGAGAAATCAGCACTAGACTAAGAATGTCTATCCTCCTCCCACCCACCCCCAATTCATCTAGAGCTCAGGGGTCCAGCAGGACCTCGATCCCCAGGGAACAGTACCTTGAGTTCCTGTCTGCATCACGGGTGCTCATGTCTCCCAGCGACTCGTCCCCATCTCCGAAGTCTCCCTGTTTTACCAACTTCCAAACACCCGGGCAGTCTCTCCTTCCACCGCGACCTACCCCAACCACGAGACTCCTCCTCCCTCGGAGCTGAGCTTCTTGCCCCTGACCTGCCCACATTCTCCAGCTTTTTCCACAGCTGACAGCAGCTCTGCCCTCCCTTCTCTGCCCCACCTCCCCTCCTCAGCTCCCCGCCTTCCATGCCCGACCACCCAACCCTGCACCACGGAAGGGCTCTCTGGGGCTCCATAGGGTCCTAATGAAGTTCCAAGGACTCGACTCAGGACCCACTCACCCAGTGTGGCTTCCTCATCRCTCTGGCCTCAGGCAAGAAGACCCTCCTCCCGCCTCTCCCCTATCTTTTGTGATAGAACCCTCAGGTCAACCACTGGCTTTCTTGGGTATCAAAACCTCAGAAAGCCAGCGCTCAGGAAGAACAGCCATCTCCCAGGTGCCGGGAACGGCAGACAGAAACAGACGTCAGGCAAGGTCCAGGTTTTAGCCAGCTTTTTCACTGCTGGGACTTAAGGGCCCAACCAGCACAACTGTAAAGGAGGAAAGGTTTACGTCGGGGCTCACGGTGCAGAGGTCTTAGCCCAGAGAAGGCYGCTCCACTCCTCGGGGYTCAGGGGGAGGCAGGAATGGCGGAAGAGTGTGGCARAGGGAAAGGCCCACAGGGTGATCAAGAAGCAGAGAACCGAGGCTCCACTCCCAGATACAAATATAGACCCCAAAGCCACGTCCCCAGTGAAGGCCCCCTGCAGCCACACCCACCTGCCTCCAGCCATTCAACCCACCAGGGATCAATTCACTGATTAGGTGAAGCTAAAACCCCATCGTTTCTCCTGCAAACCCCTCGCACTGTCTCCACGTGAGCTTTTGGGGGGACGCACCCAGGCCATAACAGGCCAAGGGGTAGATCTCTGTCACAAGCACCATGGAGACCCCGGATCATTTTTAGGGGAGAATGGACGCCCCCCCCCCACTGAATCACACATGAGAACAGATCCCAGATTCAAAGATGGAAGTTTTTGTTTTTGATGATAATAATTGAAATTAAAATAGAAAATTGGGGGGGGGGGCCGGTGGAAATTTGTCTTATGGATAAAAAAGAGGCTTTTAAGCATGAATCATGGGAGGGGCGTGAGAACAACCACCTTGGAGCACCCCAGAGCTCTGAGGCAGAAGGTTGGAAATTGGCCCAGGATAAGCACCTTCTCTAGGAAAGCAAGACAGACCCAGCTCTCAGAACCACTGAGCTGCTAGAAGACAGGAGGGTGGAAACAGAAACCCAAAGGCTGCCTGACCTGC